TTACTTCCCTGCCATTTAATCACTTGCATTTTCTTCCCAGAAGCCTCCTCTCCACCAATACTCATTTTTCTAACTCTTCAGGTGTTTTCAAAGATGGGAGTTGCCTCCTTCTCTGATCCTGGGAAGCCACCCAAAGACTTCCCTCCATCTCCGCATCCCCCAGGACCCTTCCTGAGATCAAAGACTACTGGGGTTCACAAGTTCCCCAATACCCACACTGAAAACCTTTCCCTGCAGGGGTGGATTTCACCACCAGGCGCTTTAGTAAGAGCCATGGTCAAAGTTGGCAGAGATGTGGGGCATGTGTACAGAGCCATGCTGCCAAAGTGACAGCTCATTTTCCTAGCTCGTTTTTTTACTGTAGACAAAGTATCTGAAAATGGCTTAGGCATCACATTATTGTCAAAGTTCTTGTGTAAGTGGCTGACATATTTTTCTTCAGTGACAATTTATGGAAGACAGCAGAATATTATGTGCTAGATGTATGGTGCATGGATGTGTATAAACATATGTCTGGAGGCCATTTCCGATGATGGCGAGCCATCCTGTTCCATAAGGGAGGAAAATTGCAAATGTAGTCCAGGTGGATACAGTTTGTCTGATCAATTATATTTTACCTGATGTTGTATTATGTTACCCCCAAGATGTTTCACCCAAGCCTTAGCATTTCAAAGTGCTGTCTCACACATTGTCTCACCTTCTCCTCCCTTAGACCTGTGAGGCCAGCACTTCTTCACATGTTACAGATGAGGGGCACTGTGGCAGATACTGCTATCTTTTTACAAAAAAAGTTCTTCTTCTTGGGCATACAACTAGACTACATTTCCCAGCCTCTTCTGTAGTTACTGTGATCATATGACTGAGTTCTAGCCAATGGAGGGCAATATGAAGGGATGTGTGCCACTTCCTGTCCGGGACCATAAAAATCTCCCACATCATGTTGTCCCTTCCTGATTGGATGATAAAATGGTGCCATGGAAGCCCTTATGAAACATCTATATATATAAAAGCCTAAGCGACCATTACGACTGGACAACTTGGTAACCGGACGACCGGCCAGTAGCTATGACACAAACTGACCACCATGGGGCAGACACTCAACACAGGAGCTGCCCCCTGGTGGTCAGTGCACTCCCACAGCAACCTCCCACAGCGGGCCAACCTCCCATGGTCCCTCCCCCCAGCTGGCAGGCCCCGATTGGCCCCGATCACCAGCCAGGCCTAGGGATCCCCACCCATGCACGAATTTGTGCACCAGGCCTCTATTAGTCCTTAAAATGACTGTGTGGGGCAGAAACACACACACACACACACACACACACACACACACACACACGCTACCTCCCTGCTGATCTGGAATCTCTCTGAACTATTCTGTGAGTGAGAAATAAATGTCTAAGTGTAGGACCATTACATGTTTGAGTCTGTTTGTTATCACAGTCCACCCTAACCAACCAAGCACAAAAGTTAGTACCATGAAGCGGACTACTGTCCTATTCAAGACTAAAACCGTGTGGCACTGACTGAATCAGGCAGCAGTAGTGAGGTAACACAGGAAGAAAGGTGGTGACTCAAGTTATGTGGTGGCAAAACATTCGTTCAAATAAAACCTGCAATGCCCCGGAAGGCAGACCATGTGCCTGTTGAATCTGTGGCTCTAAAGAAATTTTTGCAATAATCCGGAGTGACAGTGTGCATTGGCTGTTGCTGGGTTTAGTAAGGTATAAGAAAGAGATGAGCTCAAGCAAGCTTGTCTGGCTTTTAGACAGAGCGTGAAAGGAATAGAGAAAATTCAGAGACTAAGGGCCTAAGGGTGTTAGAAAGACCGATTGCTTCTGGACCCTAAATTATAAGAGATAAGGCCAGAGAGAGAGAGAGAGAGAGAGAACTTTGAACAGCATAATTTCATTAGAACTTTTCAGTAAACCAAAGGAGCTTAGACCTGGGATGAAGGTCAGACTGAGAATGTTGCCTTCTCAGACACATTGCTTCAGTTGGTCTCAATATAGGCCTATTACATTGAGAAAGAGAGAGGCATGGGTTTGGAAGCAAAGAAATAAAGCAGACTTGAGGGGTATGGTTGGGAAAGAACGTAGAGCATTATTTCTGGCACATGGAACCAATGGGAAGCAAATTGAAGAGAAGTCTACTACATTTTGAAGGAATTGTTAAAGAAACAATGAGCCTGGACTTAAAAGGATGTGATTGTAAAGCTACACTGAGGCCTCAAACTTGCAAGAGTCAGGGTAAGTTCTATGAAAGTTAAATTCTCCCCAAGTACTGCATCCTCCCCAGTGCCCACTGCAGATGGGACCGAGGGAGGGGGGTTAGAGCCAAGTAAGAAGCTCCAGCACCTCCAGGGCAGAGGCTCCACAAGGCCTGCCTTGGAGGGTGCCCCTGGGGGGGCCAGTGACTACTGAACATTTCCCTATTTCCCTCTCTCCTCTATCAAATGGGAGCTTTCACTGTAGTTATTGAATTCTTGTCACATCGTTGTGTAGTGTAAAGTGTCCTCCTTTTCTCCTGTGGTCTTCAATGCCATGCAAGGGAAGCAAGATAGATATTTTCATTCCCAGTTTATCAGTGAAGAAACTAGGCCCAGAGAGGGTATGGTCATGGCTATAGATTTGGCCATACCACACCCCAAAATGTGTCAGTTCAATTCTAGGGGTCTAAACATGGTCATTTTCAACTAGCAGCATTGTGATCACACCAAAAGATTCTCTGAATTCAGTCAACGATCAGGTCAAACCCCCAACAATGTCACCGACACGGCTCAGTGGCTAGCTGGCTGGATTTTGGGCAGAATTCACTGCATTGATTTGCCGCCAGAAGTCTTGGAAGCAGAGTCGGAAATGAGGTTTATCTCTAGAACCCCCAAGCCAATGACCAATTTGCTCAATTCATTCCCCAAATCAATCAACTTGATGAGAGTAAATCTCACTCAAATTAAATTTCACCTCCAAATCCCTCCTGTGCCTAGGGAAATCATTGCGCTCTTCCTTTCTTACCCCTCTCTGTGGCTGCTTCAAATGAATGGTCTTGGACAGATCCACTCTGAGGAGAGCTGGGAAGTTGGTAAGTCGTGTTTCCTTGTGTTTTTGCACTTTTCCTTTTGCCTGCAAAAAGAGATATCATTCCTCTCCTTGTCTCCCTGTGGTGGCCTTATAAAGAGATTCAAGTACGTCGTTAGAGTACTGATTTCATTCTCATAATTACCTTTTGGGCAAGGAACAGATTCTTTTAGCTGAGTAACTAGTCCAAACAATGATTAAAGTTGACATCAAGTACTGGAACACAGATACAGCCTAATGTAAAAGGGCACAAATCCTTCAGAGCACGTCAGGGGCAGGTTCAGCTCACGGGGCAGTGAAATGCTAGATGGCAGAGCAGGAGAGCGGACGCAGAACTGCGCTACTCCTTCAGAGCACGTCAGGGGCAGGTTCAGCTCACGGGAGAGCAGACGCAGAACTGCGCTATGGGACATGCTGTCCTTCAGTGGGCAGGCCACCACAGTAAACACCATGTCCAGCAAAGACTTATCCCCCTACATAGGCCCTGGGATAGCCTGCTGGGTGAGGCTCCACTGTGACAGTGAGAGGCCATGGTCATTCTTTCGCCTGATTTCCAAGTTTTGGCCAATTTTTCATAACAGCTTTTTAAAGTCTTTTAAAAAATATTTTTATTGATTTCAGATAAGAAGAGAGAGGGAAAGAGAGAGAGAAACATCATGATGAGAGAGAATCATTGATTGGCTGCCTCCTGCACACCCCACACTGGGGATCAAGCCTGCAACCCGGGCACATGCCCTGACTGGGAATCAAACCATGACCTCCTGGTCCCAAGGTCGATGCTCAACCACTGAGCCACACCGGCCAGTTCATAATAGCTTTTAATCTAGTCCTCATTTTAAAATAGGGAATTCGAATTATTGCCAAGTGAAATCTGCGGTTCTGATACTGGCTACACCAAATGACAGTGAACTAGCCTCTGAGCTCAGACGCGAAGGGAGTGGGCTCTGTTCATCTGCAGGCCCAGGGCTGGGTGGGAAGTTGTGCATGCTGCAGGCATCCGGGGTCCAGCTCCCAGAGCCACAGGGACCTCTCTCACTGTCTCTGAACTCGGAGCTGCTGGAGCTCCTGGCCGGGAGCCCAAATCGTTGTCCTGACTTCCAGCTCAGAGGATGAGCACGTTTCTCAGGGGCTGGCCCATGAATCCCAGCCTGCAGCCAGCTCTGGGAATGTGGGTGCTCCCCACAGGGCTGTCCCTGCAGGATGCAGCCCTCTCCTCCCCAAACCTCCCAGGCCCCTTCAGTGTCAGACGAGGCCTTCCATGATGATACCGGTGCTCGGTACTTGTCAAGACTTTTCTCTCGTTTCCTTTCCTGTCACATGCCTCTCTCCTCTCTTTTTCTCACTCCCTTTTTTCCTATTCTCTTTCTCTTCCTGTCCTTCCCCTCCAAACCTTTCACATTTGATCACGTCCTGCTCTGAGTTAGGATAAAGCACAAACCCCTCATCCAGCCTCCGTACTTGCTGTTCCCTTTGCCTGAAACAGCACTTCCTGGGCTATTGCCTACTCTCTGTCATTTTCTTGGAAGGAACTTAACCCCAAAACTCATTTTCTCTAAAAGAACTTACTGGAAACCTCATTTTCTCAGAAAGATCTTCCTCTACCACCACTCCCTGAATCTAAATTAAGTCCCTCTTTTCTTTCCCCACACCCCAAACACCCTATATTCTAAAAGTATAGCAATCACTTCCAGTTTTAATATGTATTTGTGTGTGTGTGTGTGGCATGCACATTTATGTGTGTTCCTGTCACCTGGAAACTGCAGGCAGGACATGGCTGTGTTTTCAGCCCTGCTCTGAGTGTTGGGGTCCAGCCCCAGCAGGTCCAAGGATTCCCCAAGGTGTGGTCGGAGTCGGCGAAGAAGGAAGGACACGGAGGCAGCGTTTAGTTGATCAGCATAGTTGGGTTCTCCAGCCAGGAGAAGTTCTCAAATGACGTAGCTGTTTCAGGAGTCAATGGAGGAGAGTCACTTTGAACAGTGGTGGTTTGACATCTGTGAAAGAAGTCACTTGAACTCTTATAAAGAGAATTTTTAAGGGGTCAGCAGCTTCCCTGGAACATTCAGGAAAACCAGCAAGAGAGGATGGTTTCATCTTTTCATAAAGTTCTTCTCCAGGGCTACCGAGGTTCTCTGTAAAGAGTAGATATTCCGCTTCACCCGGTCCTCCAGGGAGGAGGTGGACGCACTCTCTAGCTTCATGCGGTGGATAAACTTCCCGTCCCGAGAGTCCAGCTTCTCCAGCCTCTGCTCCCTCTCCTCGTCCTTCGCGTGCTTCTTAAGGATGTTCAGCCTCTCTTCCTCCCGCCACTTGGCATTTTCCATCATTTCTTGCCGTTTTCGCTCAAGTTCCTCTGATGAGAGCTTTCTGGTATATCCAGGTGCGTGCCACCTTTGGTAGACCTCTTTTTTAGGTGATGGGCTCCTAGTTCGGCCTCTCTCTCTCCTGTTTACCTTAGAGTTGTGCGTTTTGCTTGGCCTTGGGGATCGAGACCTCCTGTCCCGGGACCCTCCTCTGGTGCTCTTCTTGCTGGCATGTCTGGGAGGTGAGGGGGAGGAGCTCCTGGACCTGGAATCATTCTTCCACCGATGCAGTCCTTTTGGCTCAGCCATCAAAGGGCCCTGCAGACGCTGGCTATGGTTGGAGTCCCTGATCTGTAAACCATACCCAGGAACTTTGGATAAAACAGAGAAAGAATTTACCATCTTCTTTTGAGACCTCCCCCAGCTGCGCTCATCCTCACTGCTGCAACCATCACTACTTGAGTTTCTGTGCTTATGTTTCTTCTCCTTCTTTTTCTTCTTCTCCTTTTTTTCCAGACTCATTTGCAACAATTCTTTGATTTTCTTCATTTTCACAGGATTATTCAATACCTCTCTTTTTTTCTCTTCTTCCTTCTTCCTGATGATGAAGAGTGGGTCCTCCCGGATCTTGCTGGCCATGTCAAGGAGGGAATTGGCACCCGATGGGGCAAAGATAGAGCCTTGGAGGAGTCCTGTCTCAGAAGAACAGCCTGCCTCCTTCTCCTCCATCTTCTCAAAAACGTATTTGTCAATGGGGCGCCCCAGCAAGTACTCATCACGGTTCACCATCCCACCAGGACCCTCGTACATCCAGTCCAATTTTTCTTCTTTCTTCTTGACAGCGCCAACATCCTCTGCGTAGCGCTGCATCTCCTCCCTGGCCCTCTCCTCCCGCAACTCCAGCTGAAGCTCCTCAATCTTCTTCCGCTCAGCCTCATGCTTCTGCTCAGCCTTCCACACTTTCTCCACCGGAGTGTCTCTCCTCCCTGGCCCTCTCCTCCCGCAACTCCCGCTGAAGCTCCTCGATCTTCTTCCGCTCAGCCTCATGCTTCTGCTCAGCCTTCCACACTTTCTCCACATTGCGGAGTGTCTGCGGGTGCCAGCTCTTCTTCAGGTTCAGGTCTCCGCCCCCCATGATGGTGGAGACGTGTCCTCACTCCATGGACCTGGAAGACTCAGGAAGGAGTGAGAGGAAATGTAGAGAAATAGTTCAGGTGCGACCGCCCCAGATCTGTTCTGGGGGCTACTGGTGGCCGCTTTCACAGCCGGATCTACATTCTACTTCCTGGAGGGTGTTCCAATGAGGCGATGGCGTCGCGGGTCATAAGAGATCAACCGAAGGACTTGTATGCATGCATATAAGCATAACCAATAGACATAAAACACTGGGGGGTAGGGGAGGCCGGGGGAATTCTGTTCCAGGGGTTCCCAAAGGTGTGGACGGAGTCAGCAAAGACTATCCACCCTCTTCCTACGGTGGAGTCCTATCCGTCCGAGTGCAGGGGTTCTCAATGGGGGGAGGGGCTTACCTAGGGGAATCCCTGTTCGGGCGCCATATGTTGGGGTCCAGCCCCAGCAGGTCCAAGAATTCCCCAAGGTGTGGACGGAGTCGGCGAAGAAGGAAGGACACGGGGGCAGCGTTTAGTTGATCAGCATAGTTGGTTTCTCCAGCCAGGTTCTGTCTTTTATTGTCTTGTTACATCTGTATTTATATCAGTTGATTTTAATCCTGTCAATTTCTATTCCAAAGGTTAGGGCGTTTCTTATCT